TACCCCTTTTTAGGAATGTCTTTATTCTTGCAAGGACTTTTCAGTTCTCAAGAGGGAAATGATGAACGTGGGATCAGAGCAAATTCTGGTGTAGAATAAAGCAATGGTGTATTTCCCAGAAAGGAGCCCTGGCAGCGCTGTTGGGTAAGTCCTGGATTGCTAACTGAAAGGTGGTAGGTTCAAACGCATCAGTTGGCCTGTATCTGCTTCTGTAAAGATTTACAGCCTGAGTAACCCTTATAGGGTTATTCTGAGCTGATGGCAATAGGTGGGTGTTTTCTAGCTGTCCTTTCACGAAAGCAAGCAGCAGCCACTATGTCTGGAAGCACATCCTGTGTTTTGTTAATGACTTAATACTACTGTATATACTTTAGTGACAGGTGCCGTTAAGCTCTTGGCTTTTAGCTGTAAGGTGGGCTGTTTGAACCTCCATCCTCCACCCCTCCACCCCAAGGTGCCTGGGCCCTGGTGATGTGCTCCCGGAAGGCAGGCCACCGTCTTGAAGACCTTATGGTGCCGTTCTGCTCTGCACACACAGGGTTGTCATGAGTAAGAGTGGACTCTGGAGAAGCTAAGGATGATGACAACAACAGACACGGAGTAACTCAAGACACTAGTGTTGAAACTCAAGAACAAGCCTGGTGCCTATCTGAGGAGCTCAAGACTTCAAGGAGGCCAGTGAGTGCCTGGAAAGCTGCTCCTGGCCTATGTGAGGTCAAGGGAAGGACAGTGGTGGGGCTGTAGTTCAGGCATCAAAGAGTCCTTCTTCCAAGGAAGCCAATTAATTCTCAGTGTCCTACATGGCTTCACCCAGAACAAGGATCCTTGCATTGAGACGTTTATAGATGCTAACTATCTGGTGCAAAGTCGGACGACAGTGAGAGCTACAGGTCATCACAACCGTCGAATGGAGGTGTGTATCAAAAACAGCCCAGAGTGGCCACAGGGCCAGGGCTGCTGCACCCAGCGATCCTGCTTATCTCACAGTGGCCAATGGACACTTAGCAGTCTAATGATACAGCCAGGCCTTGAAGCCATCACTGGAACTGTTCACATAAAAAAGGCAAAAGTATCTCACAAGGAAAGGTTCCCCCTCCCAGCAGGGCTATTTCTTCCACCCTGAGTCGCAGTACATCAGAAATACCAGCTAGGCTGTATTGTAGTTTCACTCTGGTTTAGGGTTCTTTCTCGAAGCCTCAGTTCTAGGCACTCCACGGTCAGGGGGTATGTGTTCAGCTCAAATTTATTTGCGAACAAACTTGGTGAGTTAATCAGCCACTTTAAGTCACCGTTTCCATAGATGCAAATGCCATGTATGTAGTGGCCTGCAAAGAAGAGAACAAAAACCACAGTCAACACATGCTTGCTTTCAAAAATCAGGGGTATCAAACTTGCAGAAGAAAACAGCCATTGCTAGCAACTGAGTATCTAGAACGGGCCATGTGCTATAGGATTAAAATGCAAAAGAATTGTGCAGTCTCAGCCCACAAAGAAGGTAAATTCTATCTCATGTCTCCAATGCCAAGTGTATTGATCAATATAATCTATTATATTCTATTTCAAATCTCTTTGATTCTGTTCCTAACTGCAGATTTCATACTCCTCCCTCTGACTCTAACTACCAGAAGCTAGATTAAAGAGAACTTATAGAAATACACCACTATGGTTTTCTCCCAGAGAGTTGGTCGTTGGGCTTGTACTGCTGACCTTTTGGTTAGCAGCCAAACGATTAACCATGGTGCCACCAGGGCTCCTTATACTTATCCTCACAGTTTCATTGTTGCCAAAAGGATATAAATGAAGAGACTACCATAGGGTGAGTCCTGGGAGGATGAACAGAAACCACTGATCTTCCTAGTGTCCAAAAACATCAAAGACACAGGAAATAGTTAAGCCAAAGGGCTAATAGACCACAGACACTTCTGCCTTCATAACCCTGAAACCAGAAGAACTAGATGGTGCCAGGCTACTACTACAGACCACTCCGGGTGGAACAGAAGGTCCTGGATAGAGTGGGACAAAGATGGGAAACAAGTTT